CAAACTCTGCGTCGATTCAGTCACTTTGATGAGCTTCATTCCTTAATCACAGAACAGGTGAGCAAAAAAATGTGTCAGTTTTGCCTCTGATTATATCTTATACTAAAACATTAGCTTTTCGAAGTCATTTCTACAATGCAGCCTATTTTTTGAGTCACTCGTATTGACTTAAACCTCTTTATAGAGGTTGTTTGACCTTGTTTTCGCCTCTTTAACTAACTTTCTTTACCTTGATCCATTTAATATGTTAAATTTTTGAGGCGTTTTGGACGAATCAGTTGGATTTTAAGGCTATAAATTACACTTTTTATTATACTCTTAATGTCGCTCAATGGGTGGCCGAAGGAATTCGTAAATTAAACCTCGTAACTGAACTGGGGTTGCTTTCGGTTTGGGATAGTTCAATTGTGGGAGGAAGTCTGTCCTGCTGCTCCGATGAATCTGTACTGAGTTTGTCTGCCAAAAAAAGTCATCACTACACTAGACCAGCTGTAATCCCACTTACTTCCTACTATTTGTTTTCTTATCTTAATGAGGCTTCCCATAACTTGGTCAGCTAATTCTTGCTTAGATGCTTGCTGAACCTTGCGTCTAGGACTTCTTCGCACAAGTAAACAGTCAGATCCAGGCCAATCCCTCTATTTTTCTGAGGTGATCAATATGTAAATCACGCCCACCCATCAGTGGATAAAATTAAATTACAAAAACCCGAATCTATTTATGTATTCTTGTAAACTCACCTTCGCTTCAGATCCCTAAGTTACCGTTTTCAGAAAAATCATGGTTTTTGTTTTTTGTAACTTGGCTCTTGTTATCGCATTATTATCGTTACTCGCTTTAACATTCACACACTCATCTCTAATTGGTCCATACTTGTGTCCGCGCATTCATTTGTTTCGCTAAACCATCACTTCACTCTTATTGTTATATTCACCGGTATCGATCAGGTTTCATCAAATTTTCAAAATGAAAATAATTCTAGAATTTCATTTGGTTTACTTTTTGCACTTTTTTTTTGAAGGTTGGGCGGATCCCACAATTACGCCTGCCCGGAAAGCGAGCATTCAGCAATATGAATAGAGAGTTCTTGGATCGTCGTCGCCGTGACCTAGAAGAATATTTACAGGTAAGTATACCCGAGTCCCTATGACCGCAATCTTTAGGGTAGTATCGGTTAACACGATGCCTTATTTAACACTCGATCGATTTTTAATATCTAGCGATCTAGTTGCAACAACACAATCGCCTGATTTATTATGTAAAATGGTTACGATTGGATCAACTGACAACTGTTCTTTGGCAACAGTTTGTATCCTATTGCCGTAGATATAACTTTACCTGGTATATTATCCTCTGATACCTTAAGAGTAATGAGC